AAAAAAAAAAAAAGACAAGGCTAGATTCAGGTGACAAGTCTGGTAATCCCAGTTTAGTCATGAACAGATCATGGAATCTCCATAACAATAACATAATATTGAATTTTCATAACATTAATACTTGGAAACTCCAAATGCCTCTGTTTCTAAGGCAATATCATCTCTGCATTAAGAAACTTTCTACAACTTCCCTGGTGGTATAGTGGTTAAGAATCTGCCTACTAATGCAGGACACACAGGTTCAATCCCTAGCCTGGGAAGATTCCACATGCAACTAAAGCCCGCAAATCGCAACTACTGAGCCAGAGGGCTGCAGCTACTGAAGCCTGAGCGCCTAGAACCAGTGCTCCAAAACAAGAGAAGCCAACCCAGCGAGAAGCTCTTACACCACAGTGAAGAGTAACTCCTGCTTACGGCAACTAGAGAAAGCCCATGCAGCAACGAAGACTCAGCCCAACCAAAAATAAATAAATTTAAAAAGAAAAAAAAGAAACTTTCAAGATGCCAAGAAATTTAGCCTGCTATTCTAATAAGTCACTCTAGTTCACTTTTGATGCATAAGAGGTAAACAAACCCAAATTCTCCTCCATTTTATTGAACAAATTGTAACCTGCCTTTGAGTGAGTTTTCTGTAGTTTACCTGCTGTGTTAGATCTTCAAAAAGATTTACCCACTCTCCCTTTCACTCCTTGACCTTGGCCTTGGCCATGTGGCTTGCTTTGGCAGATGTGACACAAACAGGGGCTTCACACTTGCTTGAGTAGTTGGACTTGCCTCTTGCACCTCTGTCATCACTGTGAGAAGAACGTGTCTTAACTAGTGACTCATCTAAGGACGATGAAGAGCCACTGCCCAGCTGACCTGCAGTTTTGCGAGATTAAATGATTATCATCTTAAGATACTGAGTTTTGGAGTGGTTTGTTACATAGAATAGGGGGGACCATAGCTAACCAATATATATATTCCAATAGTTCCACAAATGACCAGATTTTCCCCAGTTCTGTTTCAGTTCCCAGAAAATACCATTCTTTTTTTTCCCATGNCCTGTGGCCAAAGAAAGCTCTTGGGTGAAGGGAGGCAGGGATGGGCAACAGAAAGCTATCAATGTGTACAGGAATGTTGAGTGCCAAGGGGTTATGAGTGGTGCCAAAAGTATCTACTTCAGAGGCATAGCTGACTATACAGACACTACTGAACCTTCCTCTTAATGGGAGGAAACCAAAAGATCAGCAACCAAGGGTGGCAAGATGTGGAAATTATAAACTGTAACCATTGTGGTAGCAGTCCTATTCTCTTCCGAGACGGATCTTTGCATTCTTCTCCTCAACCCCCAAGCAGTCACTGAAGGTCAGGCTAAGGGAGGCTTGAGAAAATTTCTGCCTATCTTCTTCAAAGACCCTGGAGACAGTTCAGAGGAGGAGTTTTACAGAGCACAGCCAGCAAGAGAATACAGTGCCTTTCTCATCAATGGGAACTTCATGCCCATATTCCAAGAAAGTAATATTTCTTTCTCATGCTATAAATTTGAACCATCCTATTACTGTACAGGCTTGACGGCCACAGGATTATTTCCCTTCAAAGGGAAAGACTGAAGCTGAGGTCCTTACCATTCTTCAATATAACTTCCACATAGTACTTTCCTTTTAGAGTTTATGATATGCCCCAGTCTCCATGCAAGTCCCAGCCATAGGAGCTTTTTGTACCTCTTAAAATCAAACTGAGTGTGTAACTAAGACTTGGGCTGTTTGTAGTCCCTGAGCTGGAAAAAGAGGGAGGTGCAGGAAAGGAGAGCCTCCCCAGGCCTAATAACGCAGGGCACTCCAGAAAGACAATGGTTGGCACTGATTTTAGAAGACCAGTTCTCATGAAGCTGATTTTCTTTTTTCTTAACTTCCCCAGAGGAAGGATGCCTTTTATTAGTGGGAAGTACAAGATAAGGAGAGCTTTCCTGGTGGCTCGGATGGTAAAGAGCCTGCCTGCAATGTGGGAGATCTGGGTTCAATCCCTGGGTTGGGAAGAGCCCCTGGAGGAAATGCCAACCCACTCCAGTACTCTTGCCTGGAGAATCCCATGGATGGGGGAACCTGGTAGACTACAGTCCATGGGGTTGTAAAGAGTCAGACACGACTGAGCGACTAACACTTTCAGTTTCACAGGATAAGGAATAAGTAGTTAACTAGACAAGGATGGTAGTAAGTGTTGTGGGCAAGAGAACTGCATGTGAAAAATGCATTAGGCCAAAGTAGCAAGCCGCTGACAATGTGCTCCACACTAGTCATTAAGGAAATTCAAATAAATATTAAACTGACAGGCTACTCTACACTCAGGCTTCCCTGGTAGCTCAGCTAGTAAAGAATCCACCTGCAATGCAGGAGATGCTGTTCAGTCCCTGGGTTGGGAAGATCCCCCGGAGGAGGGCATGGCAACCCACTCCAATATTCTTACCTGAAGAATACCCATGGACAGAGGAGCCTGGTGGGCTACAGTCCACTAGGTTGCAAAAAGACACAATTTTTTGGACACAACTGAGCAACTAAGCACAGCACCACTCTCTGCACTCCCTGGAACAGCTAAAATAAGACAGACAATACCCAGTACGGTGAGAATGTGGGACAGTTAGAAGTCAATTAGAGGTCACATGTATTCCTAGTGGGGAGTAAAATGGTATAACCACCTTAGCAAAGAATGTGGTAGTTTCTTAAAAACATATCCTAAACCAGTGATTCAGTCCATTTAGTTCACTGATTTCTAAAATGTCGATGGTCACTCCTGCCATCTCCTGTTTGACCACTTCCAATTTACCTTGATTCATGGGCCTAACATTCCAGTTCCTATGCAATACTGTTCTTTACAGCATCAGACTTTACTTCCATCACAAGTCATATCCACAACGGGGGGCTGTTTTGGCTTTGGCTCTATTTCTTGTTTCTGGAGTTATCTCTTCACTGTTTTCCAATAGTATATTGTGCACCTACTGACCTGGGGAGTTCATCTTTCATTGTCATATCTTTTTGCCTTTTCATACGGAAGTGTTTTGCCATTCCCTTCTCCAGTGAACCAGGTTTTGCCAGAATTCTCCACCATGACCCATCCATCTTGGGTGGCCCTACACGTCATGGTTCATAGTTTCATTGAGTTAGACAAGGCTGTGGTCCATGTGATCAGTTTGGTTAGTTTTCTGTGATTGTTGTTTTCATTCTGTCTGCCCTCTGATGAATAAGGATAAGAGGCTTATGATCTTAATGGCTTACGACCAAAAAAGATCATAATGACCAAGATAACAATGATGGTGTGATCACTCACCTGGAGCCAGACATCCTGGAGTCCGAAGTCAAGTTGGCCTTAGGAAGCATCTTCAAACAAAGCTAGTGGAGGTGATGAAATTCCAACTGAACTATTTCAAATCCTAAAAGATGATGCTGTAAAAGTGCTGCATTCAATATGCCGGCAAATTTGGAAAACTCAGCAGTGGCCACAGGACCTGAAAATGTTAGTTTTCATTCCAATCCTTAAGAAAGGCAATGACAAAGAGTATTCAAACTACCACACAATTACATTCATCTCACACACTAGCAAAGTAATGCTCAAAATTCTCCAAGCGAGGCTTGAACAGTATGTGAACTGAGAACTTCCAGATGTTCAAGCTGGATTTAGAAAAGGCAGAGAAACCAGAGGTCAAATTGTCAACATCTTTTCGAGCATAGCAAAAGCAAGAGAGTTCCAGAAAAACATCTGCTTTAGTGATTTTGGGCATACTGACTATGCCCAAAGCTTTACTGACTTTGGGCATATTGACTATGCCCAAAGCCTTTGACTGTGTGGATCACAACAAACTGGAAAATTCTTCAAGAGATGGGAATACCAGACAACCTGACCTGCTTCCTGAGAAATCTGTATGCAGGTCAGGAAGCAACAGTTAGAACAGAACATGGAACAACGGACTGGTTCCAAATCGGGAAAGGAGTACATTGAGGCTGTGTATTGTCACCCTGCTTATTTAACTTAAATGCAGAGTTATAGGTCATGTGGAATTCTGGGCTGGATGAAGCACAAACTGAAATCAAGATTGCAGGAGAAATATCAATAACCTCAGTTATGTAGATGATACTACCCTTATGGCAGAAAGTGAAGAGGAACAAAAGAGCCTCTTGATGAAAGTGAAAGAGGAGAGTGAAAAAGCTGGCTTAAAACTCAACGTTCAGAAAACTAAGATCATGGCATCTGGTCCCATCACTTCATGGCAAATAGATGGGAAGACAATGGAAACAGTGACAGACTTTTTTTCTTGGGTTCCAAAATTGCTGCAGATGGTGACTGCAGCCATGAAATTAAAAATGCTTGCTCCTTGGAAGAAAAGCTATGACAAACCTAGACAGCATATTCAAAAGCAGAGATGTTACTTTTCTGACAAAGGTCCATCTAGTCAAAGCTATGGTTTTTCCAGTAGTCATGTATGGATGTCAGAGTTGGACCATAAAGAAAGCTGAGTGCCAAAGAATTGAAGAGTTTGAACTGTGGTGTTGGAGAAGACTCTTGAGAGTCCCTTGGACTGCAAGGAGATCCAACCAGTCCATCCTAAAGGAGATCAGTCCTGAATATTCATTGGAAGGATTGATGCTGAAGTTGAAGTTCCAATACTTTGGCCACCTAATGTGAAGAACTGACTCATTGGAAAAGACCCTGATGCTGGGAAAGACAGAAGGCAGGAGGAGAAGGGGGCGACAGAGGATGAGATGGTTGGATGGCATCACCAACTCAATGGATGTGAATTTGAGCAAGCTCCAGGAGTTGGTGATGGACAGGGAAGCTGGCATGCTGCAGCCCATGGGGTTGCAAAGAATCAGACACAACTGACTTAACTGAATTGAACTGACCCCAGTGATCCAGCAATTGCAGTCGCAGGTAATTATCCAAGATAAGTGAAAATACTTATTTATAAAAGAACTTGTATAAAAATTTTATAACAGCTTTATTCATGATAGCCCCAAATTGAAAACAACCCAAAATCCATCAACAAGAGGATGGCTAAACAAGTTGTGGTATGTTACCACTTGGCAGTAAAAAGGATGAATTATTGTACCAATACATGCAACAGCATTACTGAATCTCATAAACATAATGCTGAGAGAAAAATCTAGGCACAAAAAAAAAAAAAGTAGAAAATTGTATGTTTCCACTTAAATAGAAAAAGCAAAACCAAGGTTAAACAAAGTTAGTGGTTGCTTTGTGGAAGTAGGGGGACCATCTGGGAAGGGAGTACTCTTTTTTTCAGGAAATTCAGGAGATCTTGTAAGGGTGTGAGTACACAAGTATGTCTAGTTGTTAAAATTGTTCAGTATGTAAATCTCATCTTAAAAACTGTGAAAGTAATGATAATCAAATGGAGGAGTTGGTAGTGGATAGTACAGATGAAACAAGTGCTAGAACATTAATTAAAGTTGAGTGATGAATTAGTGGGGTTCATTATACTATGCTATTTATCTATGTTTGAAATTTTCCACACACAAAGAATGACTTTTTAAAAAAGACAGTAAGCAAAAATTATCAAAAAGCTTTTGGTGAACTAAAAATAATTTAGTACAGCTGGTATGGGGAGTGTCTTTTCCACTGTTTCATTTCATAGGAATCTTCCCAGACAGTGGTAGACTGCCGACACCAAATCTCTTAGTCACACTTCTTCGGAGACAATGGAAGGTTACAATGACTAGCTAACAAACAAATAATTGTGGTGGGAAAAACAGCCACGTGTATCTCATGTGTAAATAAAGCTTACCAAATATTGTTCCCTGAGGTACCTTGCACTAATTGGAAAAACAGGAGCCATTTAGTTGCCATGGAATATGGGTATGTTTATTGGTACATACTCAGACCAGTATAATCCCTTTTCTTAACTTAGTAAAACCCCCAAAGTGGCAGTAACTAAAACACACCACACCCAATCAACAACTAATTAAGAAAAAAGTATGAATGTCTTATAAATTTACAA